ATGTGAACTTTAATTGTAACTGTACATACGTTTTTGTTTTAATATATATACAAGTTTAAATACAACTGACTCTGAAGAAGTATTTTAATTTGACTAGGCCCATTATGGGTTCGGCCAGGCCCACAATGGTGCGACCGGGTGGTGAGGGACGTTACCCGACATATCCGAACGGACCACCCCCCGAAAAATTCCTAGGGTTTCCTTGACCCGACTAGGCTCGATCCTGGGTTCCCCAGAGCGGTAGTCTGTCACTTTGACTGCTCGGCCATCCGGCCAACGTAACTATTATTAGGCGCAGTTAAGTGACGTTTAACGACCTATGACAATGCCCAAACCTAACCCTGGTCACTGTTTCTATGGAAGAGTATAAATAAGAGTTTTTTTTTTAATTATGTAAGACAAATATTAATATTTTTCGTTTGTTCTGTTTAGAAACGACTTATTCTAAAAACAGTTCCTACAATAAATTATATTTTTATTTTTCCACATTTTAAATGTATTTCTGTCAAATACATCCGGAATGTCTTGGAACTGAAGCGTCGTAGTATCTTTCGGGAAGAACTCATTTTGTCCTGGATTTTATCTCCAAGTACCTGGCAACCCTAATTTTGGCGGTGCCCATCAGTGGGCAAGCTGTTTCTTTCCCTGAATACTGGGAGTTCGGTCGTGGGTTTGCGGCTCGCCCGGACGAGCTTGTCATGTGAGCTTTTCTGGATCTTCTGTCTGTAACACCTGAATACAGGCCAGTTATCCTTAAAATGACCTCCGGAGACAAGGGCTAGTTATCACAGTTTTTAGTCATTTTTAGTTTTAGGGTTTATAATATCAGTTTATTTAGATTTAAGGAAAATGCAGCACCTACATATCTTTTGATTGCTTGTAATAAATATATGAACATTTCATAATTTTTTGTCATAGTTATTAATTATCTTAGAAACTGTGTCACCCAAAGGGTATGTTGTCACAGGGTATAGGTAGCCTAAGTTCTCACCATTAATTAATTGCACGTTTTCAAAACGGCACAAGACATGACACATCAAAATTTACGCGACTCGCTGTAAATCTCCTAAACGCCAACTAACGGAACATAATGCAACGGACATTATACGAATTTTGTAATGACGTAGGCGAGCGGTAGAGGAACCTACTCTTAAATGACGTAACCGTTCAGTTTTGACTATATAGGAGATATTTGCACTGTGACAACTAGCTCCGGTCTCCCCTATCCCTAGACAGATTGCCCAAGTGTTGTGTTGCCGTAGTTTAACAAAACAAACAAACTAATCTTGGTGGACCTAAGTTTTACATGATTCCTGCTGGCAGCAATTCTATAAAATATTTATTTATCAGTACTAAAATAAACGAAAATAAGTAGTCAAGAACAAAGAGAAGTCGTCTTCCTCTTCATAAATTTAGATAACCACCGTTAACGAAATAGCGCGAGTTTGGTTTCCTTAGTGTTATATCGTGTATTTTAAATATAATTATGGTTATACAGTTTTTAATTATTAAAAAAAATTAATAATAATGATTTTTTACAAAACAATAACTTATTGTTAACTAAATACAATACTTATAAAGAACAAAGAATGAATAAATCAGAAATTCAAGCTCAACTTTCTCAGGTTTTAGATGGTCTCCTGAAAACAGCATCAACATCAAATAAAGAAGAAGTTAAAGAAGTGTTACAAGGATTTGAAAAGTTATTTCTAGATTTCATAAAGGGTAATTTTGAAATTGAATGGGAAAAAGTCCAGTTACCATCTAACGATGTAATTCTTGATTATTCGACTCTGGAGGAACCAGCATCAGAAAGCATCCGCGAAATGTTAAACAAAGTGGTAGTCGTAAAACTTAACGGTGGTTTAGGAACAAGTATGGGATGTACTGGACCAAAAGCATTGCTTACTGTTCAGGATAATTTAAATTTTATCGATTTAACACTTCAACATATTCGTCACTTTAATGAGTTGTATCGTGCCGATGTACCTTTGCTTTTGATGAATTCGTTTTATACAGATCGAGAAACGAAAAATCAACTACGTGAATACTCTACACTGAAAACGAACATATACTGCTTCTCACAAAATAAATATCCACGGATAAGTGCAGATAATTTTATGCCTCTTGTTACATCAATAAATGATTCAGATACTAACGTATGGTATCCACCAGGTCATGGAGATTTTTACGAAGCCTTTAACAAAACTTTTCTTAAGCGTTTTATTAAAGAGGGTTACGAATACTGTTTTATTTCTAATATTGATAATGTAGGAGCTACAATTGATTTGAAAATATTGAACTTCTTGTTGCATCCTCAGAATAAGTTGAACTGTGAATTTCTAATGGAAGTAACAAATAAAACAGAAGCAGATGTTAAAGGAGGCACTCTTATTGAATATGAAAGAAACCTGAGATTATTAGAATTTACACAAGTACCAAAAGATCACGTAGAAGAATTTAAAAATATTGAAAAATTTAAATTATTCAATACAAATAACTTATGGATAAATTTAAAGAGTTTGTTGTTTTTAGTTAATAATAATAAACTTGATATGGAAATAATAGTCAATCACAAGCTCTTAGATGATGGTAAGAAGATTATTCAATTAGAAAGAGCAGCTGGTGCAGCAATAGCATGTTTTAGAAGAGCTCGCGGAATAAATGTGCCTCGAAGTCGTTTTCTGCCTGTCAAAACTACATCTGATTTTCTATTATTAAGGAGTAATTTATATTATATAAATGATGGTTTAATGTTACCTAATCCCAAGCGTATTCTTCCTACGATGCCTGTTATTAAAATTTACGATAGTCCCCTTACTAAAGTGGAAAAAATGCTTAAAAACTTTGCTGCTATTCCTGACATGTTAGATTTAGAAAGCTTAACTATATCCGGTGATGTCACATTTGGTAGACACGTTTCATTGAAAGGAAATGTTATAATCATTGCTGATCGTAACAAAAGAATCGATATTCCTGATGGTACTATTTTAATGAACAAAAGTTTTAATGAAAATCAGCAAATTACCGAGATAAAATCAAATCCCGAAACGTAGTTCTCTTTTAAATGTGCTGAAATATCTAATATTTTTGTAAACAAATTTTAAAATTATAAACCTTTAAAACGATAATACAGTTCTTATAAATAAAAATAAATATTGTTAGGAGCTGTGGGGCTCGGGATATAAATTCAGAATACAGTTTACCGAAACTGAGACTTTTTAGATACACTAACAACAAAAATGTTATATAACTCCTTAAAAGAAAAAACACCCCCAACTTTTTTCGAATTGTTCTTTTTCCTCCGAATCGTTCTTCTTTTTTTGAATCATTCTTTTTCTTTTCTTTTTTAAACATTCTTTTTTTGTTTCGCCACTTTCTGCACCATGGCGCTAGTCTCACCCGGAGCCGACGCGACAATACTGTATTTATAATTTCTGCGTTAAGGATTTTCTTATTTCATTTGTAATGATATAGATTACGTAATTATAATCTAATGTATTCATAAATTATCATGTGCATTGCAAAAAATTCGCGTTTTTACCAAGAAGAGTAAATCTTTCAGAGATTAATTTTAAAAATTTACTCTCATAAATTACCTAAAATNTAAAAAAAACCTTCTTAAAACATGCTTTTTTATAAGAAAAATGTCTACTTCCTTCTCTGCAAATATTTTTCATCGAGTATTTAAGTCTTTTCTTTAAAATATATCGTATAAATCATATAAAATATTCAAATTAAAACTTGATTGGATCAATAATTTTACGTCGTGCGTAGCACATTAATACGATACACAATTGTTATGATAGGACAGAGTAGACCTATTGTATGATATACCGTAGGTCTACTCTGTCCTATACAGTCAAACCTCACTTTTCGAACAATTCGGTTTACGAACAGAATTTCGAACTTATAATTGCAACAAGTTCTTTTATAATCGCAACTCTTGTTGCAATTATAAAAGAGCGGCCACAGATAAAAGAAAGACAGATGGTGAACTCACTATACTTAATTAAAGAAAGTCGACGGCTCAAATAATTTTTTAAAGAAAAGAAAGTAAAAGATAGAAATAATTTTTTTGTATGAATACGCGAAGCGAATTTATAAACCATAGAAGAATGTAAGTTTTAAGATCGACCACCTATGCTTGGGGAATCGAATTAAACATCGATTTTGATTTCTCCCGCGATCTACGCTGATATCTCATTACCCTTAGTAGCGAGTGATCAACCTCTTAGAAAGCGAGAACGAGGAAAAGCCACCAATCGGAATGGGTGATTGAGGATAGAAATTAATAAAAACCCGGGAATTCAAGGACGTGACGGCTTCTTCTTCCAAAGTTCCAAGTGTCGGACCAATTGTTGTGTGTCTCTGCCCATCTTCGTCTCCGTCTCCTGTCCTCGGATCGACATCTTCCCATCATCGGAAATCGACTGCATCGTTCGGGAGTTGTCGAGAGAACTGTCATTCGCGAATCAGGGCACTCCTTCATTTGGGACTGACTATCGTGGGAAGGAGAGGAAAACCCAGAAGCGCTGCGACTTAAAACTTCCAAGACTGGGGAAATCCTGTAAGCTTCTTTCGTGTCAAATAAATAGTTTATTGTAACCGTAGAGACTGTCTTGGTACCGATCGCACTCACATGAGACCCTCTCGACTCCTCGTCAGTTCTGACTATCGCGTTCCCTTCGGAGACCTTACAATTGCAACACAATACCTTCCATTTTTTCTTCCATTTGTCCAGGTCCACAATGGAAGTGGCCGAGTAATAAGAGAACGGTCCCGACGTTTAGTAGCTAGACGGCTGGATGGCCGAGCGGTTAAGATAGCTGCCTACCATTCTGGAGATCGAAATCACATCCCGACGAGTGAAAAAACCCCAGGAATTTTTGGCGATGATCCGTCCAGATATTTATATTATAATGAATATTACGATAAATTAATTTTAACGAAAATAAATATTAATAATTATTACTCGAAAAAGAACCGTTGGGCGTGTTTGTGATAGTAAACAAGTAATCTGGCAGTTACTACATAAGATTTCAATAGCAGTGATTAACTGTTTTTTTACATCGGAAATTATTTATCTTGTTTCTCTTAGACCATTTCGATTAAAATAAATTTATATAACGGATAAAACTCGAAATTCGTTTATCGTTTACACTTACAATTAATAAATATGGACGAAGCACAGTCTGTGGATGAGGTGGGTGTGAACATTTTCTATTTGTGTATAGACAAAACGAGTAATCACACCTTAATGTGTTATAAACATCCATAAAATACTTGAATCATTGGCAGAGTTTAAGCTTTTAGACTATATATGTATATAGATGCATAAATTACCTAATAGTAACTTCTATGATTTTTGATGTGTTTGTTTAAATAACATACACATTTAAAGGTCCTAAACATGGAAGTTGCAAGATGACATATTGGGGCTGTAAGGCAGAGGCTGCATAATTTCCTATCCAAAACAATGCAGCAATTGCCTTACAGTCTCAATACATCACCTTGCAAATTCCATGTTTTTGTACCTTTAAAAATGTTTCTCAAAAGTTGCCAATTCCAGTCTGACAGCAAAATCCACATAGATATAATTGAATGGTTCATTTGGCAGTCTTCCTCTTTTTATATGGAGGATAAACGCAAACTTATATTGTGTTGAGACGTGCATCCGAATGTAGCGGGTGGTTTTTCTCAGCAGCTAATGAAAGTTTGTCATTAAATTGTGTATACTGTAATCTGCTATGGAGACGCCGTGTTTTATATAGTTTGGTCTACATTTTGTTTGAACGACCCTTGTAGATACATCAAGCAGTTATTTTAAATAGAAATTATAGTAAAAATTTTATGCGTTTGAAATTAATGTTAAAAAGTATAAAAGTCTCTGTAATTTATTGTCTCATACCTTGGAATTGGATAAGATAACCTGAGGTAAACTGTGGTGGCATCGACCTATGTTATGAGGACTCTTGGCTCGTTTTTTAGTATTTCTTCTGAACTTATGAAGTACAGTCATACCCTGACTTACGCGAACCCGGAGTTACGCGATTTTCAAATCTCGTCGGTTCGTCTTTTGTTTGAGTGCCACGCAACTCTTGATTATTCACTCCCCCCACACTATTGTCCAGCTTACATGTTCGGACGTGTCGCGCGGAATTGACGCATAGCTACAATTTATTTTGTGAAATTTATTTTTGTTTGCTATATCTACGGAGACTTGAGAGACTCTATGTATGTGGTGATTTCTTGTAACCATGAACGAACCAAATGGCGAGATAAGATTAACGAGAACATTTATTAGCTTACATACATCCTACTTGGATTTTACACAGGCATTTGCAATCGTGAACAATTGACGAAAAAAGTAGACTATACATTTATCAGATAATAAACAAAGACTCATTTTGTAAACAATTTACCTTTTGTATATACAACTGACAAGATTACCTTTCAAATTATAAACAGACTCGATCCCAAGCGGTCTTTTAATCGTCGGACATACAAAAGAAATGAACAGATGGCGCCTAACTTAAGCGCGGTTTACAATAACGAATAAAATTAATCTTAACACTCTACTATGTCATCCAAACGAAGTAGAACTGATTCTTCTGCATCAAACAAGAAAAGAAAAAGTTTATCTTTGGAATGTAAAGTTAACATTATTAAAGACTTCGATACGAAAATGAAAATTTGTGAATTGGCAAAGAAGTTTGATCTACCGGAATCGTCGGTCAGAACAATTATAAAAGGTAAAGAAAAAATTCTCGAAGCTGTGAAAAATGCTCAATCTTTAAATTCAAGCACCATTCCTAAACATCACGGTATTATCGCTGAGATGGAAACAATGTTAAAATTATGGCGTAATAATCAAGTAAATGTGAAAAATTGTAAAATAATATAGGCCTAATTTGTTATACATATGTATTATCTAAGATTTTATTAAACATTTTTTTCTAAATTATTGTTTTCTTTAGTCTCCGGTCCCAATTAAAAATAATTTGTATGTATTTATATGCAAAATTATACCCCGACTTATGCGAATTCGACTTATGCGGTTATCGCTTGGTCCCACCTATCGCGTAAGTCCGGGGTATGACTGTATTGTACTATAGTTTATATTCTGGTTTTATATTTTTATCAATATATAATAGTTATGGATTTTTTAAATAAATATTTTAAAATACAAATAAAATATCTTAATGATTTAGGGCTTATGATTTTTGTTTTGTTAGACCAGTGATTCTCAACCTTTTTTTTGTCACAGTACACTTTTAATAATTTAAAAATTTGGCGGCACACACCATTACTTTGGTAAGTACCGCAGTACAGCCGGTGACGTCATAACAGTGATTTTTAAATGAAGTTGGTTATTTAGGTCACATTTTACTAAATGTCTTAGTAACTACTGGCAGTTACCAGACTATGACATGCAATGCAATCTAATAAAATGAAACTATGTGGGTGGTTTCTTTTTCAACCTCTGATGGTCCATAAAGCTAAGACAAGTGTAAATAACAAAATGAATTTATTACCAAAAGTTAGGTATAAACATGGTTACTTTTCAACATAATCACCGTGAAGATTGAAGCATTTGTCATATCTGTGGACTAGCTTTGCAATTCCTTCATAGAATGATGCTGCCAGGGACTTGAGATGGCCTTAACGTTGTTTTGAAGATCATCATTAGTCTCGAACCTCTGCCATTCTAGTAACGTTTTTCAGTTTGGGAAAGACGTGGAAGTCACTCGTTGCTAAATTGGGGCTGTAGGCTGGGTGCTTAAAAAGTTCCAAGCTGGGTGGAAGTCTTCACACCTTTAATGTGTGAAAATTTCTACCTCTTTCCTGAACTGAAAAAGTGGCTAGGAGGGCAGAGGTTCGAGACTAATGACGATCTTCAAAAATATGTTAAGGCCATCTCGCGTCACTGGTAGCAACATTCTTTGAAGAAGGGTTGCAAAGCTTGTCCACAGTTATGACAAATGCCTCAATCTTCATGGTGATTATGTCAAAAAATAATCATGTTTGTACCTAATTTTTGGTAATAAATTCATTTTATTATTTACACTTGTCTTTGCTTTATGACCATTAGAGGTTGAAAAAAAAACAACCTACATATTTACTAGTGTTGCAACGAATAGTATATTCAGCCTCAGGCCGAATATTCGGCCAAACTATTCGGCTCGATTAATGCACGTACGAAAATTGGTGCGCAAACTGCATTATGGCAAGGATCCTACTATCTATTGGCCCGCTGTCACTACGCTTTGCCAATAGCATTAATTCTTGGCAGTTGTAGCGGACAGACAAGAGTGTCATGGAAGTATGTGATAAATGATGATATCAAATGTGGATAACAATGAAATGACCTACACGTGTAAAAAATAACGGAAAAAGAACAGAGAAGAACTGTGAAGTGAAAATAAATATGAAATTGAATTGATAACATAATCGAACAAGTCGAGGCAGCTTATTGGCGCGAAATTCGCGGCTGTCAATGCCAAACAATTGTTGTCATAGACTTCAGAAAGCTAAATACTTGTAATGAAAGTCACTTAGCGTGCATGGGCAAAAGCCTGGGGCCGTTTGGGCTACCGAGCTGTCTCAAATCTGTGAAATCATAACTGTGACTTATACTGATGTCCTATCCGTCTCTTTTCTCCATTATCACCAGGCTGAGTCACGTAATTGTAAAAGGGGAACTCTACGACGGAAAAGTGGCGAATCGAAAGTATCATGAGTGTGTATTATGATGTATGCATAGGCATACGTGGACTAGAGCAATAGAGGAAAGAGAAAGGGAAGAGCAAAGACGAGCACTTAAAAAGAAGGATAGGCAGGGTCAGACCCTCAGATGTGCAAGGATTCTCCAACGATAGGCATGTACGTGTGCTGATCTTTGTAATTATAAATTGTGAATACATGTGACTAATATTATTTTCTTTTTTATTTTGTGCATGCTACAAGTTATAAATAAATATAAGCAAACACTAACCCAACAACATTAAATCTAAATACCAAAATGATTAATTTACTGTGTTTTTGTTATTTATTACTCCTGGTTTTAGGTATTTGGCCGAATAGTGAAACAGGCCGAATACCGAATAGTAACCGAATATTCGTTACATCACTCGTATTTACTAAATATATTTATATCACACAGAATAAAAGTTGGTATTGTCAGGTATCTGAAAAAAATTGTTAAAAAAACAAGCTGCTATTATTTTTTATTCTTATAGAAATTGCTTGCAATCTTTGCAGTGCCAATAACCTTCAGCAGAGATAGAATCTTGCCTTTCTATTGATAAATGCATTGTAAATTGTAATTAAAATCTTAATAATTGTTAATTCTTGATGATAAAAAGTTTTATTTTCCTCAAAAAAAGGGACTTTAAAAAGTAAGCAATTAAATCTTCCTTCCTTTCTAATAAACATTCTTAATAAAATTTCAATAAAGCTTATTTTTTAAAACATTCTCAATTGAATAGTATTGGAAATTAAGCATTAAGCATAAAATAAATGTTTTGGCTTGGATTGTAATATAACAGATTGGATTATAATATAATGTCACATTATATTATAACACAATTTGTACTTTATCTGTTTTCATGTTTACTTGAAACTGTGGTAGCCAACTCTAAGAGGACACAACTCATTTAATCTCTAATAGTAATTAAAACCACTTGAAATATTATTGGGAGCTAAATGTGTTCTGATCCCTTAGAGTTGGGTTTCATGCTTGGAACTGATAACAATTTTAAAAAAATCCAAAATAGGCCTATGCATTTCTTCAGAAATACAAAATGGATTTAAATAAAGGATAAAGAAAAAGTAACTATGTATTCATTTCATTGAATTATGGAATTAAACTATTGTTATAGGCAAGTCTGTCATGGACTAAAAGTTTTTAAAGAATTCAAACTAGACCAATTATGTTTATCAGAATTTTTTATACTTTTCTGTTAAAGGGACATCAGCTGATATGTACAGCAATGGGTAAGATTCAAGCTCTGAATGAGGAGTTTCATACCCCTAGAATTGTTGTCCCTTTGCAATATATTTGCATCCAAAGGTGTATATAACGTTTATCAGTATACTACCTATTCTACTTGTATGCTTTGGTGTGAATGATAGAAAGCATCTCAGTGTCTTGTCCCCACTCCCATAAAACTATATAATATCAAGTACTCCATGAACAGTTAAGTGGGCTACTCAGAGTTGGCTTAGCTAAATAGTTAAATGCAATACTCTTAGTAGACATTGGTATTGCATATTGGATTAAAGTTATAACTGGTATCCCGTTAACAGAAAAGAACTAAATCTTTAAAATAATATTTAGTTTTTAAAATGAAATACTTAATGACAATGTATAAAAATATTTGTATTGATATTAGATCAATTTTATCTCAAAGAAAGATATAAACAATAAAATCTAAATTATAATTATTTGAATATTGTTTTGATATTATTTATAATTTGTTTTCATTGATTCTTTAAATTATAAATTTTTCATCTTATTTTTATTATAGATTTTTGTCTCAAATATTATGCTATTATTATTATTATAGATTTTATAAGATGTTTAATATTTATTGAAGTATGATTGTTTAATTTCTTCTTCAGACAACATTTGTTATAGATGATGTCAGTACTATTATTAAAGAAGTAAGTAATTTATTTTAAAATAATCATTTTAACATGCAATAATTATTCAATCAAACATTTCATAAACAATAGGCTGTTGAGGGTATTATAGCTGGAAATGCTTATCAGCATAGTAAGGTCAATCAGTGGACCAACAGTATTGTGGAACAGATCTTAGGACAACTAACAAAACTTAATAAACCCTTCAAGTATATAGGTATGAAGTTAATAATCAATTTTAATAGTTATAATCATTATTACTAATATTTGAAATGCACTATTTTAATTTTTAGAAATTTAGTGAATTAATAATAGAACTATTAAAAATTGAATTGCAATACTATAAAATTTGATTTATGATTAGTTAATAAAAACAATTAGAATATTTGTAGATAAGATTTAAATAAATCAAGAGTAGATCTATAGAATAGTGGTTCTTAGTTGTATAACCAATAAATAGTTTAAATTAGAATTCATCATAAATTACAAAAATGTACAACATTTAAGAAATTAAACCAAGTATATTTGTCATAATTCTATTTATTATTGTAATATTTTTCATACCAATTATATAATTTATGAATTAATCCTGATGTGAAAATAATTAAATGAGAATGCCATGCCAAGTACTGTACATGAAATGATCCAAACAACTACTGAGCCAATAAAAACTAAATTTTTCACTTAAACATAATTATTTATCTTAATATCAATATTATTGAAAGAATGAATATATTAAATATTTGACATGCTTTTTCACCATATTATATTTCATTTTGTTATTGTACTGAATGAACTTTACTGATTAACTCTCAATATATTGTTAATACTTCTGCTGAGACCAAGAAAATTCTTATATAGTTTTCCAGTTCTATTAAAATAGTTCATGCTTATCTTAAAAAGGAAGTCCTTATTTTTTCTTATATTATCAGGCAATTGCTGTTGAACAAAATGCCTTATATTAGTGATCTTCAAACTTTCATCTTATGTCAAACTATTTTCCCTAAATTTGATTTTTGTGAAACGTCATAGCAATGTTAATATTACAGTTACATTTACTGATACATTAAAATTAATTTACAGTAAAACCAGCAAGGAGTAGAACCTGAAATGAAAACTCTTGAAAATTGCAGTGATTTCTGCATTACTGTCAAATTTTCCATACAAAGTATCCTCTCTAAAGTGAAACCTGTGAAACATCAACATAAAGCTGTGTGTTATACTTTTATTAATTTGTATTAGTTACTAGGCAAGTACTGCTGAGCATTGCCTAGGAACTCATGGAGAGGTCCTCATTATAAAATACTGTTTTTCTCACAAGATGGCAGAAATTATGCAAAATTTGGTCCAAATCAGTCAAGGATTTGGCAATTGTTGGGAGATGAAATCAGGGAAAGGAGATTTAAGGTAGCATATTTTTTGGAGGATTGTAGAGATTAACTATGCAAAATTTGTCTGGATTGTTCAAAATGTTTGGTTGTTTGGGTAGGTAGATGAAATCAGAGGAGTGAGGATCTACCTGTTAATTATGAGTTTAAGACAAAATCTAAGGCACTCAAAAATATTGATCTTGAATTCAAGTAAGCAAATCACCCAAGAGGAGCATTCATAAGTTACATTTTCAGTGAGAAAACACAGAAATTTTGCTTAGATCATATGCCTGATGGAATAGTGTCCAGTGCAATTTCATCTATAACAAATTTTACTGTATAATTTTTTCATCTTTGAACAGCAATAACATAAAACAGTCGATATTTTAAGACCCTTTCTCTGCCTTTTTGGCAATTGTAATACATAATTAATATTTATTTACTCAAAAGACCAATTGTAATTCAAACTTTCCTTATTTCAATTCTCTAGTTCTCTTCAGAATGTTTCTTTGATTTCTTTAATGATTAAATTAAATTAGTGTAAAAAGAAAATGAAGATGTTTCAAGTTTATAGATTTACAATACATACTATATTGAGTTCTGTATACAGTGGTGCTTTGTAGTTCAAATTAAATTTGTTCTGGGAGACAGTTCAAACACTGAATTGTTCAAGTTTGAATCAATTTTTCTGATTAGAAATAACGGAAAGTGAATGAATCCATTCCCACACCCTAAATAATACCCATTTTGATAAATTATGTGTATTTGCTGTTTAAGTTTAAGGCAAAAAAAATAATAATAAATTAAAACATGAAACAAATAAAATATGTAAATATTGTATAATAAAATAAAAATTGCATTTATCGAATGCATACTGTTAATATCAATATCTTAAACATGGTTGCCAGATTCATCCCATGTATACTGCTTCCATACTTTTCAATAAGTTTTTCTCCACCTCAATTGTCAATGCTACAATCTTCCTCTTAGGCTTTGTTGCTTGTACACACTTCTTGATGCTATGATTAATATGTAGGGGTTTTATATATATATATAACAAAATACACCAAGAATAAAGCAGAAAAACTGAAAATACACAAGCCTAACATGAGATGCATTTACACCAAGAATGGATTGATTTAGGTGTACAACAGATGTTTATGTAGCAAGTGCAGTTTTTTCACTGCATTTGCAATTCAAATGTAGAAGCATCATTCAAACTCCAGATGGAATTTCTCTTGAATTTAGTGTTAAAAGTATGAGATACCACTGTATATTTAAAGTTTTGAACTTTTATTTGCTTTTTAAGCAGCTTTCATTACTATGAAGCATATTCATAATAGAATAAAAGAAAGAATGCTCATGGGTTAGGCTTAAACATTGCAATTTATCATTTTTTAATGAAAATAAAAAAAGACTGATGTTTTAGCATCTCTAGAAAGAGAGAGAGGGAATGTGTAGAATATTGTAAATAAATTTAGGAGCATTAACAAAAATGATATTCCAAGACAACAGTTTTTTCACCAAACTTGAGGACTTATCTTCAATTGGAACAGAATAATTTTTTATCTAGAAAGATCTAATATTTTATTTAGAGTATCTTCAGAAATTTTATTACAATATTTTTTGCAATAACATCATAGATAAATTGACATATGATATAATATTTCCAATCATCCTGTCATATTGACTTTTCCCTATTTCAATGATTAATTTATAATTTACATCAAATTAATTTCCTGAAATGTATTAGTATTTTAAACATAAATTGATAAAAATGTAATACTCTTTCGTTGTATTCATTTTTCTCTTGCTTAAAAGTAGTTAAAACTTTGAAAAATTTAAGTTATATCAATTATAATTATATAAAATGCATGTTTGCAAAGCATGTTTTATCCTATATAAATATTCTAAATACAAAAGTGTTTATTTAGTTGTAGAAATATTATAGAAAAACTATGCATTTGTAGAAAATATGCCTCAAGAAGTTACAAATGAGGCAAAATTAAATTAATGTAATAAATTTCGGCATTAAGTAAAAAGAAAAATTGTATACTGTAGTTATTAAAAACTTACAATATTATTATATATTATAGTGACCTGTATAGTTATGCAGAAGAATGGTGCAGGATTACATACAGCTAGTTCTTGTTACTGGGATGATTCCACAGATGGTATCATAAATTTGTCAAAATTTAATAATAATTTAAAAAAATTATTTTAAAAAATTCTGTTTTGTTACAGGAAGCTGCACGGTCAGATGGGAAAACAAAACTGTATACTGCATTGTTTCAGTTTTTGGTCTAGCCATATGAATTGCCATCACTTTGCCTGCCATTAAACAATAAAATTTATTTATAAAACTCTCCCTTATGATTCTCTATTACAAGTAATAAAGATCAAAATTAAAAATCTGAAAAATGTTTTTATACCATTTTTTTAAATGTATTAATTTCTAGTAAAAGTTCATAAAAAATTTTCTTTAAAATATTACATAAAATACATTTACAGTTACTTCAGCAGTTTTACTTTATAAATTAATAATTTTATAAATCAATAATAGTTAATGTATAAAATGATATATAAATATGGCTGTGATGTTTAAAGACAGATATTTTAGTTTTTTATACTAGTTAAATACTTTTTTAATGCTTTGTGAATAATATTAAAATGTTCTTTAAAAAGTATGCTTAAGCCTTTTATCTTCTATTTAACATGGACATAACTTTATATTCTGATGTATAATGCAATAAGAAATTATCTAAATTATGATGAAAACAAAGTACCTATAATGCTAAATTTAATTTTTATATGTCACTTTACAACAACAATACACAAAACAATATTGATGAGGAGAGTAGTTAGAAAATTATTCAGTTTGCTTTCTGTAATATGTCACTGTCTCGGCTATCATCCTTTCAATTTCGCTATCTGAAGTGGCTTGAGACAATGGAATGCTATCATTTTCATTTACTTTATTGTCTTCCTCTATTTCTTCTGCATCTTCCTTTACTTCTTCAGTAAATTCAGGAGAATCGGATTTTTCCTGATCAGATTTTTCATCGTTGTCTGTATTTTTGTGATAGGAAGTTGGTGGAGCGAATTCCTTAATTCTGTCAGTTCTTCGTTCTTCAATCCATGATTCTTGTGTATCTGTATTATTGTTATATGTATATTAAAATTCTATTCTTTATTAAATTACTATAAAATTCTTACAGACAAAATTATAATTACATTTATATTTTTGTTTTTGTGTGTTAAAAACCTTGCCTACATCCCAAGGCCGAACTTTTGGTGATGTTTCAGGTTTTTCTTCTTTCACTTCTTCTTGGACTGGAGGTTTCAGAGGATCAAATTCTTCATCTAAGCAAATAAATTTAATTATAAATGAATACTTGTTAAAAATAAAACTTTTTTTATTTATATACATACCACTCATAGATTCATTAGACTCTTCCACTTCAATATTTTTTCTTTTTTTAACTTTATCCAATCTGGCTTTTAAAATAGCCTTTCTCTTCTCTTTCAATCTTTCTCTAGCTGATCGTTGCTTTACTGTCTACTCCAGAAAATTAAATTATTATATGATAATCCTTTTATCAAAGTTTTAAATACTAGAAGATGGAAAATTTACCTGTTCTCTTAACTGATTTAGATTTTCCAATTGGGCTTTTCTTTCTTCTTCTTCAGTTGAAAATGAATAGTAACCAACACCATGTGATCTGATTTCTAAAGAAAAATTTTTTATTTTTATTTTGTAATAATTTACTTTAAATTGATGAAAATGAAACTTAATATTGATAATTGTTGAATAACTTTTAAAATTTTGACATATTGTCAATTGAAATAAGTTTTTATTATTGTGTGTGTCAAGTTTATGAAATTTTTGTTATCAATTTTTTTTATAAGCACTATCATCATAATTTTTGATATATTCAAATAAATCTATTATTAGCATATCATAATGATTTACGTTTAAAAATGCCTATAAAGGTTTGATTATGTGGACTATTTCTTCTCAAATAGCTGAAGTTAAATGTAAGATATTATTAGTTATTAATTAGATCGGTGTTTTCCAAAGTGTTGTATGCAAATGGATTTATTCAAGATCATTTGCATCCAATGAGGGAGAAAAATACTAAAATTTTCCATTAATCTGGCACCCAGTAATCTAGTATTCTGAAAATTGAATTTGGACACATGGTGTACTTAAGACCCAAGTAGAATTTGAGGTAAAAATGGAGGAATGTAGTCGTTTACAATGCTACATGTTAGGAGGTCAACTATAGGATCATGAGTGATGATCAAGTTTTGTGAAATCACATGTATGGGAAAAATGATTGACGATGATTCAAAATAATTCATGCATGAACATGAATCATTTTGAATGCTGATTTAGAGCATTAATGTATTCATTAACGTTGGTATTAAGGTTGATTAAAAATCCTACATAGTCATAATGTATCATCTTCAGACTGATTAAAAGAGCATATGTAAACAATTGCCAAGAAAATAATAGAATTTTTGGTAGAAAATGCACAGCAATAATCAGATTACATATAGCTTATCAAATTATGTGAAAATACAAAAATGTACATGTATAATATCTGGTCTCCTAAGGGCGTTAAGGGGTTAATGAACTTCTTACTGTAATTTTAAAATTTACTTACATTGTAAGTAAATAACATCAAAATTTCATATGAAAAATATACCATTGTTTTGTACTGTTTGATAATGAACGGGTTCGGCAGGAGTTTCAACTTCAGGCAAGTCAGAAGAAATATTTTCAGAAGATTCCTGATTCACAACAGACTGATCTTCCTCAGGTACACTAAAAATTTGAAAGATATTTATCCATAAAAAGTTTAATTAACATAAAAATATAAATAATAATTTATTTTTTAAAATGTCATTACATTTTGTTAGTTTTCTTTAACTGTTTATCCATTTCTAAAAGATCAGGCAGATCTTTTCTTAAACATCTTCTAGATCTTCCTAATGAATCTGTATAGTCAACCCTAAAAATATCAACAATAATTTGAATTACAAATTTTGATATATTATTGGTTTTGGAATAACTTTAAAATAATAATTAAAATGTTAACTAAACATATTTAACAGCTTGAATTTTTTTATTAGCTTGAAAAATTGCTTGTATTCATATTTATGTATAAATATATAAATGAGTATTAATGATTAGTACTATTTCAACTTAATTTTTGTTTTAAACTGAAAAAATTATTACTACTAAATCTGCATGCTTGTTTGTGTTAGAAGGATTGATGATTAAATGAAACCAAGATGCAGCACTTTTTAAATTAGAAAATTCTAGATTTCTTTTTCACTCATAAATCATTGAAAATGGATGTTAAGTTTTTACTTAGCATAAAGTATTAAAAACTTTCAAAGTTGCTAACAAATGATCTGCAGATTGACTAATTTCATATACTAATGAATATATAAGGACTTAAATAGTTTTCAGACAAAAAGTTCAGCAGTCTTCATAATGATGTCATCAAAAAGCTTCATTTCTATTTTATTTTATCTATTGATAAAACATTTTAGGAGCATTTCAACTTCCATCTTCAGTTCATTGCCATTTATGTTAGTTATTACAGTAGAACCCCTCTAATCCGTCACTTTTGGGACTGGGGGTATGGTCGGAATGCAAAACGGTAGGATTATCAGAAAAAAGTAAAATAAACAATCTTCCCCCTTGTCCAATCTTTGTAACACTGCTAATTTTCAATTAATGAAAGAGTAACGTGTTTACATTTCACTCCTGACATGTTGAAAACACACACAAAACTGTACACATACACACAATGTAAAACATGTACTGTAATGAACACAGAAGAATGTGATGGATGGTGAGTCACCGATGAGTCGGGACAAGTTTCTTGACTCTGACCACGGTCGGATTAACCGGAGCAACGGACTAGCTGAGGGCAGACTAGAGGAGTTCTACTGTATTATATATTTAAATTACTTACTTAAATTTAGATAAATTCCTTATATATACTTTCTTTTCATAAAAATTATGCTACTTAATATTTACATTTTGATAATGAATATCAGTATATTATTGAACGTAAGTTTACAAACAAAATTATATTTTATATCTCACTATTATGCATGATGAAGAGTTTGCAAGTATACAATCTTTTATATATATATTTTAACAGGATCCTGTTTAATTATTTTCTAATATATCATCAATTAAATATTGGATTTCTCAAGAAAGACATTAATTCAACCATTTTTCCACTTATTACAAAACTTACCATTCTTCATCAGGATTAGGAGCTTCAGAATCATCTTTATCCAAAGAATGAGATGATGTGTCATCAAAGTCAATATCTTCTTTCTTCTCTTCATTGACATTAGTATTTGGTTTAGGTGATGATATACTTTTTTTCTCAACTTCTTTAGGTTTTCCTAATTTTTTCTGATCAAGTACTTTTCTTTGAAAGTCTACTAAATATAATTCTTTTACTTCATCATCTGTGAATAAAAAAATATTTTTTATATTCTTAAAACAGAGTTAGAAATATCTTTATAATACATTAATGATTTTTATATCCAAGCTTAAAGTACTTTAATTAACCATATATAAAAGTCTAGAAGTTATATAAATATTTAAATGCAAACATTTATGGCATACATATAACATTCTTCAGCATATTCTTTAAATTTCATGCATTCTACTCAATGTTACACTTCATTCTGCTTGAAATCTAGATTAAAATTTTCTATGTTCTATTCCACTCTGATGTATGTTGGCTTGAGAATGGAATAATGTATGCTGAATACATTTTCATTTAAATATTTATGTAACTTGCTGGCTAATATATATAGTTTATTAAATTATTTTAAGCTTAAATAGCTTTACTAAATCATACTTGGTACATTTCCATCTGTTAAACTTTCATAAATTTTAGCTTTCTTCTCCAGAACAGTTCTATAAAAAAATAAAAATAAATAATAAGAAAAATATGCTAGAATATTATTTTTAAAAATTAAATTGAATTTATTAATTTCTTTAAGGGTTAGAACCCCTAGAATGGGGAAAATACATTAGTTAAAATTATTATAAAACAAAAATAACATAGTATAACAAGTATCTTTTACAACATAATTTCATACAATATCATTTTTATAAGAAACACAACTGAAATTATAATTAAATTCAATTGTAATTTGAGAAATTTTTGTACAATAAAAAAGCATATTTTGTAATAAATAGCCACCATCACTCACAGAACCGACATATATCTGACTTGTGAGCCAAACACAGATATCCCTGTTTTTCCATACAAAAAACAAGAACTTGCTTAAACAGAATTGAATGAAAAGTTTTCCAAATTAAAACTAATATTTTGGTTGTAGATTATAGGAGGATCACAAGAGAATAAAATGAGTACCAAGGATGATGCAATGCTGCACTTATTTTAGAACATTCTGTATAAATAATCTTGAAAATTATAAACATCTTAGAAAGCATAGTTACATTTTCTGGATCAGATTCCAACAAAGTAAGGAAAATGGAATTGAGTTGAAATTTTCTAAAGTTGAGAATACCAATTATTATTATTTTTTTACACTGAGCTCTTTTAACTTTACATATGCTGCATATTCCAATGAAAGTGAGTTTTTCAAAATCTTGTTGATGAAACTAAATATATTAAAACAAACTTTTGAACTAAATATTCAAGATATGAGGATAAAAGTTAACTGCACAATAAGAAACTGAATGGTCTAGGTCAGGGGTGGCAAACCTATGGCACACATGCCCAAAGTGGCATACAAGAAGAAATCATCTGCACAAAACATCATATGATTTTGTTTTATCATCTTTCTTTTTCAATCACCTTTTTCATATTTATTCTAATTTAAGCATATTCATTTAATTTCTTTAAATATTGTTATTTGTAATCTAAAACTTTGGCATGCATAAACATCTTTAAAAGTATGACATGAGGGTTAAAAAAAAGTTCACCATCACTGGTGTGGGCTAAATAGTGTTTTAAAATACAACATATGTAATTTTGATAAATTATTAATTTGAAAAATGGTTTAATTTGAATACCATAAAAAGCAGTCTACCAATGAATTAGATTTAATAGAACTATGAATTTTGAATACTTCTTTTATTCTTGGCATAAATTTCTTAATATACTTAAAATGTTTGCCAAAAGTTAAAGAAATTTATTATTTGGGTATTGTTGTTAACTTTTTCTACATGATTATTGTCAATAAAAACAAGGACCATTACCAAATACAGTGGGTGATCGGTTAACGAACATAATCCGTTCCAAGACTTTGTTCGCTATCCGAATTGTTCGTTAACCGATTATCGATTTACCACAGGTTTTAATGGGAATTTAATTAATTCGTTCTGGAGACCCCTAAAAATAAAAAAATATATACTTTCTTACTATGTTTATTTATATGTAATAATAATAATACATACGTACACAGTTTTTTTCTCAACTTCTTTAGGTTTTCCTAATTTTTTCTGATCAAGTACTTTTCTTTGAAAGTCTACTAAATATAATTCTTTTACTTCATCATCTATTGTAGAAATCTCCAAGCCTCAACCTGGTTTGGATGCCATTCTAAGACCGTTGTTCTGACATCCTCCCACTTCTTCAAAGGATCTTTAATAACAGATATCGACATTAATCCACTTTTTCAGAAGAAAACATATCTCGCTGAGTTTCTTGGTGTTCTTCATTCAAGAATTCTTCGCGGTCTTCAGTCGTCAGATAACTTTCGGATTCCATTATGAGCTCTTCGATGTTCTTTATTTCTCAGATATGATTTTTGTTACTCCTTTAGCTGCTTGAGTCTTCTTGATTATACAGTATTTTTCTCAAATTAGATTGAACTGCCGCATACTGTAGACCTGTTCAAGCCACACTGCCCAGCAACATCAGAAATCTTCTGCCCACTCTTTAATCTTTAGTATTATACTCTCACCTTTCAAAAATAAAAACCGATGCAAAACTTAACGAGTGCCTACCTGACAGTCTCGCGAATACATAAAAGAATTGTTTTGTCAGAAAAATAAAAGGCTGGAATTACAAGGGAGAGTTTCAAAGTTCAGAGGAATACTATCCAATCGGTATATACCGGCTTGAACGTCAATGTCGACGTCTCCCACACTCCGAAAAGTTTTGAATTGTTGCCCGAAGACAAGGAAAGTCCAATCGGTATTCATTATTTTACGCTTCTTCTTACGTTTTTTTACTTACTTCTTCTTACTTACGTATTTTACGTTTGTTCTGTGGGCTGTTCGTTATCCAATCATGTGTTCGTTGTCCGAACATAAAAATCTTTTGCGAAAGTGTTCGTTATCTGATTTGTTTGTTATCCGATCTGTTCGTTAACCGATCACCCACTGTATAAGAATCTTTGATTTTTTTTGGTTAATTTGAAATCTATTTTTCTTCAAGCATTTACATAACTTGTTTAACTTCCTTTGCATATTAATTAATAGGAAAATAAACTATTCTTACACACCAGAGGAAAATATACTTTCACACCAGTGTGTGAAAGTATATTTTCCTCTGGTGTGAAAGTATATTAATTAATAGAATTTTTAGCTACATCATCATCATCATTAGCACATTTCAATAAGTGTATATCAGTATTGTATAGAAAAACCCTATCTGATTCTATGTCTTTAAATATTAATGGTAAGTCGTTTGTTTAAAGAGCAAAAAGAGATACACGATTAATATCTCCATGAGGTAAGTCTCTTTCTAATGAAAAAAAATCCTGTATGACCACTTAATGTGTGAATCAGGGCATGCAGACCTGAGAACAAAGATTCAATCAATAAATATCATTTTTAAGAATAATTACTATTAAAAATAAATTTTGCGATGTGCAAAAATTTGGAATATGTAATATGGAAGATTCTACTTCAGACAATACTTTCAATTAGAACACTAATGTAAAAGAGTATTTAAAAGTACTTATTAAAGTTATAAGTAAAAATAACTTTTAACCCTTTTGAATTACTATTTTTAAGCACATTTGTATTAGTGCTTTTACTGAAATTAGATCAGAATTATATAAATATTTCTCAAAGATGAACAGGCATAGTTCAAAAATACTTGGAAATTAAAATATGGAATTATATGTTGTTTGTATTCCAAAAAGATTTGGTTTATAATATGAATAATTTCAAATTTTAATAAATAAGATTTTGAGATTATACTACAACTTTTAAATATAGCTAAAATGTTTCATAGCTGATCACAAAATTATAAAAATTGGTCATCTTGATATAGTTACTATCCATTGTCCAATTCGACAGTTTAAACAACACTTCCTTGGATGAGTTATAATTAAAGGAAGATGTATCATTTGCAAAGGAAATGAAATCAGAGATAAAATTTTATGAACTTCCTTGTTGACGTTCACAATCTCAAGCTTAATTAACTTTTTACAAGTATTAATATAAATACAAATATTATTTTATATCAAAATAACAGCCCTGGATTCTCACAAATTGTTTCAAGGAAAACTTGTAGTTTCTCTCTTTTTTTCAAATGTCTGAAATTGTTTTCTTACTCAGAGACATTTCTTTATGAACTTCAGCTTGAGATTTTCCATCTTCAATCTGATGAATTATATCTATTTTTTGTTTTATGATCCATGGCTTTGCTTTACAAAACAAAAAGTAAATGTAATGTGAAAATCTAAAAAATGAATTTTATTTTTTCAGCATAATCATATTATTTTTGTATTTATTTTTTGCAAATAAAGTAAATAGAACAAATTAAACACTACATTCCATGCATACAATCTTCCAGCAATTAATATGTATTTGAATTAAATACAAAATGGAATGTTTTTGGCCCCTTTTAGGGGCCTGCATCAAAGAGTTGACTTCAAAAAGAAAGCAATTTTAAAAAATGTTCTAAAACATTCTCTAATGTTCCATAAAGTTTGACACTTGATACAGGCTCCTAAAAGAGGTTATAAACATTCTTTTTTGTATTTAATTCAAATACATATTATTTGCTGGATGACTGTATGCATGGTATGTAATATTTAATTTATCTACATTCCAGATGATACAGACTTTTATGTAAATAGAACAAGGGATATGATGAAATAAATAAAATGGCAACTAAAAAGTCCACAATAATGGAAGGACAGTGGTCTGCAGATCCTGAAAAATAATCCATAATAGTGGAAGTTGGAAGTCCTTCAAAAAGAATTATGTTATAGCAAATGAGTTTTCTTATACATTTAGCCAGACTGATATCAGCCATCTGTAATAATGCAAGGTATTATATCAAGTGTTTACTATATATTTATTACTAAAAGTTAGTTATATTCAGTGATAACAAAGAAATTGAAGAGGTACAATTTAGGTGACCAGTACACATTAGGCAACTCTTCCCTATTTGTAAAATAATTTATTTTATTCTTTAAGATAATTTGATTCTCTTGTCAATGCACTTTCACAGTTTATGTTTAAATAAATACATTTTTTGTTGATATATAGTAACATAACAATTACAAATTTATTTGTTACAATGTTGAACATTAGAAATTTTCATACATGGATATGTAAGATAATTTGAATAATGCATGTCTTCAGGAATTTTGTACCCAAAGGCATGCAGTGTTTCCAACTTTTCAAAACTTTGTATGAATTTACATTTTTTTCTTAGTTTAAACAAAGGTGGACTATTAAATTAAATATTAAAACCAATTAATTATTATAGTATTTAAAAATTAATGAAATGCTGACTTAATTAGTGGCTGTGACTTACAGGGAAGTACATTAAAGAGAGAATTTTTGCAATGTAGAACTACATTAAAATTCCAGGAGATTCATTACTTAAATGTATAAACAATATCAAATTGCACATACTTATATTACTTAAGGCAATTTTCAACTTTTGTCAAGTAGAAATACCTACTTAGTAACATAAGATGAGTAAAATTTATAATACAAAGTTATATGTACTGTATGAAAACAATTTTTAGAGTGAAAAGTTATTTGATTTTGATTTTTCATTTCTAGAGTTAGATATGAACTTTACATATAGTTTTTTAAACCTTGCCTAAATGTATCCAGTGCATTAATTTTATTTTTACACACAATTTTTTATTGCTATTTTACATTATAAGGTCATTTATTTTAAAATCATAACATATAAATCATGATCATACAATATCTTTTTTACTTTAACATTGCAATCATTAGTATTTCTTTACTGAAAGTTGAACATAATTTTTAAAATTTAAAATTACATGGTTAATTAAGATTTTTACATTTTTATATGAAAAGTATTCTAATTGTTAATGTGAAGAATTATAAAATGTAGTACAGAGGAGATTGTCTCAAAGTTATGGTACTAGATTGCCAAAAGGGTCTATCAAAATACTTCAGTATAATACCAATTATCATACTTAAATTTTAAAATATTTTGCAATTTTAAAACATTTAATTAGTCAAAATTACAAANTGACATGTTGAAAACACACACAAAACTGTACACATACACACAATGTAAAACATGTACTGTAATGAACACAGAAGAATGTGATGGATGGTGAGTCACCGATGAGTCGGGACAAGTTTCTTGACTCTGACCACGGTCGGATTAACCGGAGCAACGGACTAGCCGAGGGCGGACTAGAGGAGTTCTACTGTAGAAACTTGTTCCAGAAAAAATTTATTTTTTAAAATGTCATTACATTTTGTTAGTTTTCTTTAACTGTTTATCCATTTCTAAAAGATCAGGCAGATCTTTTCTTAAACATCTTCTAGATCTTCCTAATGAATCTGTATAGTCAACCCTAAAAATATCAACAATAATTTGAATTACAAATTTTGATATATTATTGGTTTTGGAATAACTTTAAAATAATAATTAAAATGTTAACTAAACATATTTAACAGCTTGAATTTTTTTATTAGCTTGAAAAATTGCTTGTATTCATATTTATGTATAAATATATAAATGAGTATTAAATTAATGATTAGTACTATTTCAACTTAATTTTTGTTTTAAACTGAAAAAATTATTACTACTAAATCTGCATGCTTGTTTGTGTTAGAAGGATTGATGATTAAATGAAACCAAGATGCAGCACTTTTTAAATTAGAAAATTCTAGATTTCTTTTTCACTCATAAATCATTGAAAATGGATGTTAAGTTTTTACTTAGCATAAAGTATTAAAAACTTTCAAAGTTGCTAACAAATGATCTGCAGATTGACTAATTTCATATACTAATGAATATATAAGGACTTAAATAGTTTTCAGACAAAAAGTTCAGCAGTCTTCATAATGATGTCATCAAAAAGCTTCATTTCTATTTTATTTTATCTATTGATAAAACATTTTAGGAGCATTTCAACTTCCATCTTCAGTTCATTGCCATTTATGTTAGTTATTACAGTAGAACCCCTCTAATCCGTCACTTTTGGGACTGGGGGTATGGTCGGAATGCAAAACGGTAGGATTATCAGAAAAAAGTAAAATAAACAATCTTCCCCCTTGTCCAATCTTTGTAACACTGCTAATTTTCAATTAATGAAAGAGTAACGTGTTTACATTTCACTCCTGACATGTTGAAAACACACACAAAACTGTACACATACACACAATGTAAAACATGTACTGTAATGAACACAGAAGAATGTGATGGATGGTGAGTCACCGATGAGTCGGGACAAGTTTCTTGACTCTGACCACGGTCGGATTAACCGGAGCAACGGACTAGCTGAGGGCAGACTAGAGGAGTTCTACTGTATTATATATTTAAATTACTTACTTAAATTTAGATAAATTCCTTATATATACTTTCTTTTCATAAAAATTATGCTACTTAATATTTACATTTTGATAATGAATATCAGTATATTATTGAACGTAAGTTTACAAACAAAATTATATTTTATATCTCACTATTATGCATGATGAAGAGTTTGCAAGTATACAATCTTTTATATATATATTTTAACAGGATCCTGTTTAATTATTTTCTAATATATCATCAATTAAATATTGGATTTCTCAAGAAAGACATTAATTCAACCATTTTTCCACTTATTACAAAACTTACCATTCTTCATCAGGATTAGGAGCTTCAGAATCATCTTTATCCAAAGAATGAGATGATGTGTCATCAAAGTCAATATCTTCTTTCTTCTCTTCATTGACATTAGTATTTGGTTTAGGTGATGATATACTTTTTTTCTCAACTTCTTTAGGTTTTCCTAATTTTTTCTGATCAAGTACTTTTCTTTGAAAGTCTACTAAATATAATTCTTTTACTTCATCATCTGTGAATAAAAAAATATTTTTTATATTCTTAAAACAGAGTTAGAAATATCTTTATAATACATTAATGATTTTTATATCCAAGCTTAAAGTACTTTAATTAACCATATATAAAAGTCTAGAAGTTATATAAATATTTAAATGCAAACATTTATGGCATACATATAACATTCTTCAGCATATTCTTTAAATTTCATGCATTCTACTCAATGTTACACTTCATTCTGCTTGAAATCTAGATTAAAATTTTCTATGTTCTATTCCACTCTGATGTATGTTGGCTTGAGAATGGAATAATGTATGCTGAATACATTTTCATTTAAATATTTATGTAACTTGCTGGCTAATATATATAGTTTATTAAATTATTTTAAGCTTAAATAGCTTTACTAAATCATACTTGGTACATTTCCATCTGTTAAACTTTCATAAATTTTAGCTTTCTTCTCCAGAACAGTTCTATAAAAAAATAAAAATAAATAATAAGAAAAATATGCTAAAATATTATTTTTAAAAATTAAATTGAATTTATTAATTTCTTTAAGGGTTAGAACCCCTAGAATGGGGAAAATACATTAGTTAAAATTATTATAAAACAAAAATAACATAGTATAACAAGTATCTTTTACAACATAATTTCATACAATATCATTTTTATAAGAAACACAACTGAAATTATAATTAAATTCAATTGTAATTTGAGAAATTTTTGTACAATAAAAAAGCATATTTTGTAATAAATAGCCACCATCACTCACAGAACCGACATATATCTGACTTGTGAGCCAAACACAGATATCCCTGTTTTTCCATACAAAAAACAAGAACTTGCTTAAACAGAATTGAATGAAAAGTTTTCCAAATTAAAACTAATATTTTGGTTGTAGATTATAGGAGGATCACAAGAGAATAAAATGAGTACCAAGGATGATGCAATGCTGCACTTATTTTAGAACATTCTGTATAAATAATCTTGAAAATTATAAACATCTTAGAAAGCATAGTTACATTTTCTGGATCAGATTCCAACAAAGTAAGGAAAATGGAATTGAGTTGAAATTTTCTAAAGTTGAGAATACCAATTATTATTATTTTTTTACACTGAGCTCTTTTAACTTTACATATGCTGCATATTCCAATGAAAGTGAGTTTTTCAAAATCTTGTTGATGAAACTAAATATATTAAAACAAACTTTTGAACTAAATATTCAAGATATGAGGATAAAAGTTAACTGCACAATAAGAAACTGAATGGTCTAGGTCAGGGGTGGCAAACCTATGGCACACATGCCCAAAGTGGCATACAAGAAGAAATCATCTGCACAAAACATCATATGATTTTGTTTTATCATCTTTCTTTTTCAATCACCTTTTTCATATTTATTCTAATTTAAGCATATTCATTTAATTTCTTTAAATATTGTTATTTGTAATCTAAAACTTTGGCATGCATAAACATCTTTAAAAGTATGACATGAGGGTTAAAAAAAAGTTCACCATCACTGGTGTGGGCTAAATAGTGTTTTAAAATACAACATATGTAATTTTGATAAATTATTAATTTGAAAAATGGTTTAATTTGAATACCATAAAAAGCAGTCTACCAATGAATTAGATTTAATAGAACTATGAATTTTGAATACTTCTTTTATTCTTGGCATAAATTTCTTAATATACTTAAAATGTTTGCCAAAAGTTAAAGAAATTTATTATTTGGGTATTGTTGTTAACTTTTTCTACATGATTATTGTCAATAAAAACAAGGACCATTACCAAATACAGTGGGTGATCGGTTAACGAACATAATCCGTTCCAAGACTTTGTTCGCTATCCGAATTGTTCGTTAACCGATTATCGATTTACCACAGGTTTTAATGGGAATTTAATTAATTCGTTCTGGAGACCCCTAAAAATAAAAAAATATATACTTTCTTACTATGTTTATTTATATGTAATAATAATAATACATACGTACACAGTCTTGCATTTTTATTAGTCATGTTTTTTTCCATTTGAAAGGGTTAAAGAATCTGTCTAATGTCGATTGCTTTTCTTGCTTTGTCAGGATTTTTTGTAAGTAATTAATAGCATTGCAATTGTAGAAATCTCCAAGCCTCAACCTGGTTTGGATGCCATTCTAAGACCGTTGTTCTGACATCCTCCCACTTCTTCAAAGGATCTTTAATAACAGATATCGACATTAATCCACTTTTTCAGAAGAAAACATATCTCGCTGAGTTTCTTGGTGTTCTTCATTCAAGAATTCTTCGCGGTCTTCAGTCGTCAGATAACTTTCGGATTCCATTATGAGCTCTTCGATGTTCTTTATTTCTCAGATATGATTTTTGTTACTCCTTTAGCTGCTTGAGTCTTCTTGATTATACAGTATTTTTCTCAAATTAGATTGAACTGCCGCATACTGTAGACCTGTTCAAGCCACACTGCCCAGCAACATTAGAAATCTTCTGCCCACTCTTTAATCTTTAGTATTATACTCTCACCTTTCGAAAATAAAAACCGACGCAAAACTTAACGAGTGCCTACC